AAGTGAATATTATTTGTAATTTATATCCTTAAGTATTATTTTATAGGATATTTTAAATTATAGTATTAGTCTTGTAGTTGTCAAAGTGGCCTAGACTAATAGCTTATAAAATTATATTAAAGAATTAGTTCTAAATAATATTAAAAAAATAATATTGATAATGATACATACTTAAGAGATTAAGATAATCCTAAAGAAAAATCTATTTTAAATAATTATGTGATGGGATAAGATAATACTATTTTGGACATCCTTGTAGTTTAGAGTTGTATACCTAAAGATAGCAATACTATTTTACAAAAATGTTATTAGACAACCATAAATAATTTTGAGTAAACACTACATATATCTATACTTTTAGCCAAAGATAAACTATAGATAATATCAATAGTTTATTATATCTTGAAAACTCAAAGTGTTAATGTTGTTTTACATTTTACGTTGATACTTCCTTTTATACACTCTTATGCTTCTAATGTTCCTCTACTATCTGGTTTAAATTACTCAAAATGGTTAGAGTATATGTAGTTCATATTAGGTGTATTAGATTTTTCTTGGATATTCTTCTATCTTTAAAGCTTATAGAGTTTTCAATACAAGATCTCTAGTTATTGAAGAATCTATTCATATTATTTTTTATGAATTCTTGAAGCTATGAAAAGTGATTTTAATGATAATTTTAAATTTGATAAACTGAATTTGAACGAGGATTTTACTCCCCAAGACAACTTGGATATATCTACTTCTAAAGAAGTCTTATCTAAGGAATAAAAAGTATGTAGATACACATCCTAAGGAATTAATTATTAAAGATATATTAAAAGGTATTTAAACTCATTCTTTGCTAAAAAATATTTGTGTAAATACTATATTTTTATCTCAGATTAATCCTAAATGCATTGATGATGCTCTTAAAGATGACTCATGGGTCTTGACAATACATGAAGAGTTAAATCAATATGAAAGAAATATAGTTTGAATATTTATTCTTAGATCTAGTGATCATCTTATAATTAGTACTAAATGAGTCTTTAAGAATAAATAAGATGAATAAGGTATTGCGATCGGAAGCAAGACAAACTTAGTGGCCAAAGATTTCAACTAAGAAGAATGTATAAACTATGAGGAGCTCTTCACTTTTATAGCTAGACTTAAAGCCATAAGGATACCCCTTGTCTATTTCAAATGGACATCAAAAGTGCTTTGTCACTAGGATTTAAAAATGATCTTTTCCTAAATCATGTTTATAAATTGTCTAAAGATCTATGTAGGTTTAAACAAGCCCCCGTACAAGAGACTTAGTTCTTTTCTTATTCAAAATATTTTTTTTAAAGATAAGATCGACATCATATTATTTATTAAATATTTTAAAAATAATTTTTTTATTATTTAAATTTATATTGATGACATATTATTATATATAGCATAGATTCCTTTATATATTTCATCAATTGATCTAACTCGAATCTCTATCTAATCGATTCAATATTTTGCTTCCTCTTATGAGTTCCTACCAGAAATAATCATCCTTGGCCTTGGTGAAGTTTCTCCGAGCACACTTTATGGATATTAAGGCATGTTCGGCTATTTCAATCTTTTCTTTATGATATTAAATTTTACTTTTGCTCGGTTTCAATGCTCTGGATTATATTTCCTTCTCTCGTGAAGAGTAATCAACTTGTTGCTTACTATTTTAACTATCGCACTCCTCTTGAGCAACTCGTGTTGTGATCGTTTGAGGTTATTGCCCCCCTTACGTAGCCTTTCAATTCGTCATCGTGAGTGTGTGAACTTTGTTGTTTGCACAAATCACTTATCCACTCTAACATTAAAAATTATAAATTTAATAGAAATTACCTAAATCATAAGGTATTCTTATGATATTTATCCATAAAGGATCAGTCAAGTGTAAACTTGCAAAGTCTTAAAGGCCTACAAAAAATAGGAAGTTAATTCTATTCGAAAACAAGTAACAGACAAAACAAAACTTACGTCTCGCTCAAAATCACATTTAAACAATTTAACAAGCACTTGGAAGAAAAGAAGAAAATAAGAACATTAAAAATATAGCCATATGTCCAACAACAAGTGCTTAACCAACCGAAGTTGGGGTGAGTGGCAAACCTACACAAACTTTCAAAATTAGAGCGTAATACTATTAGAAAGCCTTATTTAATCTTATGTCATGCGGATGGTTTTAGGGTGCTTGAGACGATTAATGTTTTATGACATTCATCATACACCACATTATAGGCTTGAAAAATCAGATTATGAGACATGAAAACGAGACTGTTTTGATCTAATTGTACCATCTTCGGTAAGTGTTAACCACAGCAGTGTTTTGCACACAAGGCAGCCAGCCGTAGAAGCGAACAAAAACCAACAGTATCCTACGACTTAAGCGGATGACGGTTTGTCGACAAAGCCAAACGACCGTACAAACGAACAAAAGTAACGAAGATGTTGACAAAGCTAAAAGACCCGCGCAGTGGCCGTCCATGACAAGGCGGCCAACTCACAAGTGTCAAAAGTGGGAGCGAGTGGTTTCAGGCAGGTACATGAAAGGAGGGTTCTAATGCCACGGTTTCTACATGGAACCGAAACGACTCTATAAAGCCACCCGTTGCTGGGTGGATAAAACTGGCTAGAAAATGAAAGCGTCGGAAGAAGCAGCGGGTAGCATGCAACGTTACTGGGAAGGGTTTAGAGCTAGATTGGGATTGGGATTGGGATTGGGATTGGGATAGGATTGGATCGATCCAGCTGGAAAAACGATCTAAAGAACATTTTAATGCAGATTTTAATTACCTGTTTTATACATGCACCACTATGTTAATATGTGACAATACCAACTATTAAGTGTAAAGTGGAAACCCCACCATTAGATCATGAATCTCTTAGCTTCCAAGTTCAAATCAGATTTCAAGACTGACTCACAGATTTTAAAGTATTTTTTTTTATCCATCACAGCATCATATGCCAAAGGTCACTCGCTGGGCAACTCCATCGTCAAATATACACATTTTGATTTGAATTACCAACACATTGGTTATTCTCGTCCACTGTCAAAGAATACATGCATCAGCTTCAAAAATCAAGAGAGACAACTCGGTTGGAAGCTAAAAAGAATACTCTCTCTCTACATACGTCTGTTATTGTACATAGACACTACTTTCTACAACAAATTGCCTTTGATCGCTCCTAACTGACATGACAACACCATCGCCATAAGAGATTGATGCAGATGAAAGCTAACGAACCACTGAGATCCGAAGAACTATTTCACGACACATGAAGATTCTGAATTTCAACTTTCATAGCTTGGAGATTCTGTTCAACCTTTGCCAACTCATCTTGTGTTTTTGCCAGCCAATCTATTCTGTCCTGAGCTGCTTCAGCATATGGTTTACCGGTAGCTTCCACAAAGTGATTCAGCTTCTCAATGCTATGCTGCAGGTCCTTCTGCATAGCCTTCTCAATTTCATGGGCTAACTTATCAGCGACCCTCTTGACCTTCTCTACTGCTTGTCTCCTTCGTGCTGGAAAATTTGAAATTGCTAACCACCTACAATATTATATGGCAAAACATCAGAAAATGATACTTCAATGTTTCGCCTAAAAAACTAGCATCATTTTTATGCTCCTCCCTTGTATTGATCAATAACATGCAATCTCCAATCAAGTCCATGACAAAACTGAAGTTAGAGATATTACTTGAATAGTGCAAAAGTAAAAACAGTTACTGCGAATTCCAAATTAACACTATTTTTAGTGTAAATCACTGCAATCATTAGAAAATTTACCAAATCTAGTTTTATTTAAACAAAATTATTAGCTACTTAGCCATGTATAAACACATATGTATTATAGAAACACACACAAGAAGCTGTTAAGTCCCAACTTTCGGGCCCAAATACATGAATCTTTCTTACCATTGAGCAGTATCACTTGTTAAAATGCCTTTTCATTCCTTTTACAGTTCCTAATAAGATTTTAGTAGGTCTTCCTAAACCTCTTGGCAACAATGTCCATATGATCGATGCTCGTTCAGCATCCAATTCACAACCTTCTCCAATAGCCTCAAATCTCATCTCTGGCAATCATCTCCTATCATCCATCCATCCATCCCTCCTCTTTCCCTCGGTCATCACGACACAGTAGCAGCACAATACAAATCCTCAACATTGCACTTCATGAATTCCTGACCCAATAAATTTTGGACCAAACTGATCAAAGTTGGAGGACCACATTGAATATTACTTTTTACATCCTTCTTCCTGAATATTAACTTATATCCACTTGGAGATGCTTTAAACTTTAAGAGCATGAGATAATGCAGAAACCAAACAACTAAAACATTTGAAGGCAAAAGAACTAATTATATGACAAGAGAGGAAGAAAGAAACATTGAGAGTTACAAGGTTTGAAATATCATACCGTACCGACGTTTCAACATTCATTCGGTACGGTACGATACTGTATACCAAGCGGTATACCACTCGGTATATATATATATATATATATATATATATATATAATTCGGCAACGTTGCCTCTCCCTTCTTCCCAAGCGGGGCGACGTCGCCTCGTTTATATATATATATATATATATATATATATATATATATATATATATATATATATTTATTTATTTATTTATTTATTTTTTCTTCTCCCACACGGGGCGACGTTGCCGAGGCGACGTGACGTCGCTTTAAAAAAAGAAAAAAAAAAAAATATATATATATATACCGTCCGGTAACGGGCGGTCCGTGTACCGGTCAGCTGACGGACCGGTACATACCGTCCGGTACGAGCAGTATTATTTGAAACTGTATACCTTGGAGGGTTAGCAAGGAGAAAAGGATCAAAAAATTAATGATGTTCAATCAAAGGTGTTGTGTTAATTGCTGCAGAATATCTTCAAGTCAGAAGCCTGACAACCTCTCATCAGAATAAGAAAGTAAACCATTAATAGTTTGCAACAGTTAAACAAATTACAACTACTGAAGTGTTGTAGTAGCATGTGATGGTCAAATGCAACCCTGAGAATATAAAGCTTAGCTAATCATCTGTAAATTCAGAGGCTCAGATAGATACCAGTTATATTTGTAGAATCCAATTAGTCAAAGTTATATATATGTACCAGAAAAAATGATGCAGTTCAGTGCAAAACTCAGTACCTTAAACCCATAATGGGACAATCATAATTTGCCAACCCAATTTGGAATCCCTTTTGGCTGGCAATTTTTATTTTTATAGAAAGAAAAAACTAGAGAACTAAGTGATGAACATCCATAACATTGTTTTTATTACCTCTTGAAAAGATTTTCTGAAATATTTGGAATTAAAATATTTTTATTTAATAAATACAGTGCAAAAATTCATGATCATTGAATTTGTGAGTTCAAGATACAAAGTTCTCCTGCTTTACACCAATTGTCACAATCTAATCTGATGGGATAATTGACCTCTCAACCAAGGATTAAAATATCATACCATACCAGAG